CTGGTATTGAATTTGCTATTGAGAATCCTGAAAATTCACTGGTATTGGCATCGCATACTAGATTTTTTTTTATTGTGATAGGAGGAGGAGGCTTGTGGCGCAGTGGACTAGTGCAGTCCGAACAATGGGAGACCGAGCTTTCTGCTCATTCGCCCCGCGCCTCTGGAACTCCCTCCCAGATCAGCTGAGATCTGCCCCTTCCACCGAGGTCTTCAAAACCGGCCTTAAGACCCTCTTCTTTCGGCAGGCCTTCCAATAAACTTTGAGCATGGTACACCTGGAGTACTGCCATTTTTATCGCTATCTCCGACTTTTATTATTCTTTTTTTTATTATTATTATTGTATCAGTGTCCTTTGTTGTGAAGCGCTTCGAGATTTGTCTTGGCAGATGAGAAGCGCTATATAAATTAAATGTATTATAGGGAGCGTTTTCTTGGATCATCTTGGACACAAACATGGTGGCGCTAGGAAACAGTGACGTCCCGCGGCCCCCCTGAATAAAGGTTTGGTAATGTTGATCACATTTGTGTTTTTTTAGGTAAACTGGTTTGTTTTTGTCACCCTACTTGGGCTTACCTCACTTACCTACTTGGTGTGTGTGTGCGAGCAGCAAGTTCAATACGTTCAACAACATCTATTAGCCTTTTGGTCCAAGAAAAAAAATAACCCTGTAAAATCCCACAATCCTGTAATAAAAAAAAAAAACCTGGAACAGCGACGTTAACCCGCTTCTGCACAAACAGTTCTGCTGCAGAGTAGCGTTAACTCACTCCACTGGTAGAAGATGATATATTTGCAAATCTAACATCCCTAGGTCAAGGCAAGAGAATCCATTGTTTTGTGAGCAGTAAATATGACTCACTTTTCACACTTCCCCTGAAGCAGGAAGAAACCACTGAGGCAGCTCTCACACTTGTCCCCCACGCTGTTGTTCTGGCAATTCACACACACAGCATTCTCCTCTGTGGGACCCTCTGACACCTCGTTCTGAACCTGATAAAGACACAAAGAGTTTATGGGCAAGAGAACAAAGACTGTGAGCACTTTCTGGTGGATTTGTTTTTACATATATTCATGAGAACGGCAGACACTTACGCTGCTGGTGTCAAGAGGGAAAAGCCGTGGGTTCTCCAGGGCCTTCTTATGTTCGTCTCCGGTTAAACACACATCACTGTTTCCCCTGCAAAACTCCCGACACGGACGACAAGTGCCGCCCCCCTTGGCAGAGCCCACAAACAGAGGCTTACACTTCTCACAGTGCTTACCCTGGAAATGCAAGAGATACATTTGTATGACCAGTTTGGAAATGTTTTCATAACTCTGTTTACAGTGCATGTACTTTGCTCTAAGCCCTTACTATGGTGTTATTGTGGCACTGGAGGCAAACATCCGGTTTGCTGACTCCGGCGCAGTTGCTGTGTTTGTTGCAACTGCACTGAGAGGAGCAGTTATCTCCCACAAACCCAAAGTGACACTGGCAAATTCCGGGGGAAATACACGTCCCGTTCAGACAGCCCTGTGCACACACCGGCTCACACTGACCAGAAACACTGTACAGAGGAAAAGCACAAAGAAAAGATTTTGGAAAACCTCTATGTTACTATGCAATGCAAGACAGTATTTTTCTTAAAGGTCTCCTATTATTATACTGTTTTTCATCAATATATTAAAGGTCTCAGATATATACAAAACATGTCTCTGAAGTGTTTGGCTCCAAACACCAAACAGATCATTGCAGCATTACCCATAATCCCCTCTGTTTCAGCCCTTTTTCGAAAGTGCTGATTCTCTGTCTGTTACTTAGATGAAAATAAGGAGCCCCTCCCCACGCCCCTCTGAGAGAGATTTGGTTACAAAGAACACAATGGTGCTCAAGGAGGAGATTCAGGTGATAAGGGGGGTGGGGGGTTACCTTGGTTGCTGATTGGCTAATGGTTACACAAGCCTCAAAAATATAATTTTACACAAGATTTCAACGCGAACACAAAATGGAGACATGAGGAGCGACGATGTCTACTTATCGTACTCACCTGGGAGTAAGGAACTGTCAAACAAGGGAAGATCAACGCTATCACCTATGACTTCGCCCAGTACACGCCAGACTTTATCAATGGGACGAGAGGTGATTGACCAACACTGACGTTGGGACGAGCGGGGTCAAACGACGGGTCGGGAAGTTGAGAGATACCCAAAACCGAGGGATTCTTTGGGTTCACGTTGAGACGGTTCCAGGAGTCACGCCCGTGGACCAACAGCGACCAGCCCCAGCTCAACTACCTCGTACCCAGGGCCTCCGCGGCACATGAGTAATTGGCTTAATACTCCCACCTCAACTCTGGCCTCATACACTCATCGCTAGAACTCTTTCACAGCAACCCGTTCTTAGTCTTTTGGCGAAATTACCACACGGGTGTCTCCGAATTAGTTATTTATTCCTATTGCTTTAGGAGTTTTTATGAGTCGAAGGAGCCAATATTTAAGTTCGTCATTCTGTGTCACGGCTATCTATTTGTCTCCATGACAGAGTCGTCATTCTCGTTAACATTTGCACTCTCTAGTTTTTGATAGAGATATCAACTTGAGTGGATCTATCTCCCGAGAGAGGGAGCGGTACATATGTGTGCCGTCACCGTCCAGTATGACCATGAGGAGGTGTTTCTGAGAAAAGAAGGTCCGCTAAAGGAGATCCTGAGTGACACCAGGGAGAGAGAGACTGTAGGAGAGTGTGCGAAGTAACAGCGAGAGAGTCAGGTCACCACCTCAGTCCTCAGCGGTCTAGCAAGATATCTGAGCCTGCCCCGTCGTCAGTAGCGACCCGAAGGAGCTCTAGTCTCAGGCGTTGTCGGTTGAGACAGGTCCATGCACCTATCTCACCACGGTTACCCGGTAGTTCTGACATTGTCGTTGGGTCCTGACCTGACTCGCAGCAGCAGACTTATTTCTTTTGTACTACTATAGGTTTAGGTTACTATTAGTCTATTAGTCTATATTCGGTCACCAATGTTAATTCTTGTTGTGTTTCTCAGAGAGGTTTATCTCTTGTGTAGCTACTTAAATAAAATTTACACTTCGTCAGTCAAATAGTAACTCGGTGCTGTGCGTCCCGATTGGTGACGGTGGACGTTTGTACACCCGATTGTCTCAGAGGCGTCAACTACTCAGCGCTAGGAACTTTTTTTATTGATAAATGCGATACGACACGTTCCGAAAACAGGATGACGTAGCAGATCTCCGTCTCCACATTTCCACTGCTCGCATTGCTCATAAAATGGCACGTATCATGTATCAGTCGTATAAATATTCACTGTAAATCGATATAGGAGAAGAGGTGGTACAGAAGATAAACGCGAGAATAGGTAAGCTGTAGAACAGATGAAGATGAGGGTATAACCCACCATGCTCCTATGATCATGGTCTGAAAGCCCTTTGTCTAAGAGAGGAGGTTACAATAGAAATTAAATAGAGAAAAAGCGTACAAGGTAATAGGATATTTTTGGGACAGCTATTATGTCTATACACGCTGACACGTCTAAAAACCCGGGTGTAACATATACACGTCATTCTGCTAAATATAACTTTCTCCAACGACTGCTAGTCCCGTAGTTTCTAAGAGAGAGTAAAAAAGCGAAGGTATAGATCATCTCTTTGGACCAGGACTTTTACTTTGACTAGGTCTAAACCGGTGACAATCACCGT